TCCGTTTTTTTCTATATCTATAGTGAAGTGGATATTTGGATGTTGATTGTTGAAGAAAATAAGGAATTTACGGAGTTCGGCTCTGCCGTGTCTCCATATCACGAATGTGTCGTCTACATAACAGAACCAAACTTCTCGTTAGGTGTTTTTGTGAGAGCCTCTTTCTCAAAATGCTCCATGAAGATGTTAGCGATTACAGGAGAAATAGGAGAGCCCATTGCCGCTCCTGAAGTTTATTCATAAAATTGGTTGTTATAGGAGAAGTAAATGGTAGTTAAGCAGTGCTCTATTAGTGGGATGAGGTCGGAGGGGACTTTATGTGAAGCCTTTATTATATTTAATGTGTTTTTTATTGGAACTTGTGTGAATAGAGATTCTACGTCGAAACTTACAAGCAGGTCTGTGGGACGTAATCGGATTTTTTGAATCTTTTTTATAAAGTCCGTTGAGTTGGTTATGTGTAATTCGGATTTTCCAGTGAGGGGTTGTAGTATTTGTGCTAGGAAGCGGGACAAGTTGTATATCGGGGAGTGTATAGCGCTGACAATCGGTCTGAAGGGGATGTTTGATTTGTGTATTTTTGGTAGTCCGTATAGTCTTGGTGGAAGAGGATTTGTAGGTTTTAATGTTGATTTGGTTTTACTGAGTATGTTGCTTTTCTCCACTAGGATCTTGGTGTTTTGTGCGATAGTAAAGGGTGTCCCAAAATTAACGCAAGATTTGAATTTGCCGCCATTTGTGCAGTAAAGTGTTGGCAACCCAAAAAAAAAAAACAATTTAACAGCTGACAGTTTAGGGTTAGTGAAAATGGAGCGTGAAAATGGATTATTGAACATCAACAAATGGATGCTGATTTTTCGAGCAAAATCATCCTAAGCGATGAAGCACATTTTCACCTTGATGGCTTTGTTAATCGCCAAAATCGCCCCCTAGATCGTGTGATTTAACACCATTAGATTTCTTTTTATGGGGTTATTTGAAATCACAGATCTATGTCAACAAGCCCACAACCACCCGTGCATTAAAGGAGGAGATTCAACGCTGCATCAACGAAATTCAGCCACATTTATGCAAAATGGTCATGGAAAATTTCGACAAACGAGTGCGTATGTGCATGCAAAGCCGTGGAGGCCATTTGCCCGATGTGTTATTCCACAAATAACCCTATCCTATGTACTTTATGATTCAATAAAAAAATAACAATCAAAAGACTAAAAACTGTGTTTTCTATTTAATTCAAATCTTGCGTTAATTTTGGGACATCCTTTATTAGTTGGATCTTTGTCAAGCTTTTTGTATGCTTTGTCCGAATGAAGATTCTTTATCTTTTTTTTAATGTCTAATGTGTTCATGACTACTGTCGGTTATTGAAGACTGACCAATCCCCCCCTCTCACCCCCTTCACCTACAATTCTCTTCTTTTCCCCCCCACCACTCCAACAAGTAGCGTATAAAAAGGAACAGCTCAGTATCAGGCTGCTCTTCGCCCTGATAAAGTGGACTGCAAGGTTCACGAAACGTTGGCATTTCAAGAATGGATCTGGACACGGAGGAAATCCACGAAACGCCTAACTTTTAAATTCTTTTTAAATTATTTTGTTTTTAGTGCAATAACACTTACATTATTGTTATCTGTATATTCCAGAAGTTTGTCATTTTGCAAATGTATACGGGATGTTTCTTGAGTAAGTTTGTTTTCTTCTGTATTGCTATTATCTCTTTCCAAAATTTATGCGTGGAGCCTTTTTGGCTATTAATAAATTCTTCTTAAGCTTTGCGTTTTCTTTCCTTTTCTGCGCCACTTACGTATTTTCTTCCAAAATCTCTTTCTCTTATGATGATCTTTTCCTTAGTTGTTATAAACAATGTTGAATCTTTAGCTTCTATTTAAAATAGAATACTATTTTAAATAGTACTTTAGAATACTTTTAAGTAGCATTTCCCTAGTTTTTCATTGCGATACTTTTCAAGAATAAGAGCTCTGAAAGTCTATAATATATATGTTATAGACTATCGGAATCTCATGTCGTTAAGCCCATGGCACAAAAACGTAAGGTCGTAACAGTAAGGAAATCGTGCATGGTCTACAATGGACAATAGCAGTAGTGGATTAAGAAGTAGGCGTAGATCTCGACTATCGATGATAGTTAATTATCCTTCTCACATACGATTATGATTTGTTGATTTCTACTGTTCCTTAATCCATTACGCATAAGATTGAATTTGCTACTGATTTTACGGTTTCTACCGTGATTGGGCAATTCGCTTATGATTACATCTTACGGCCTTATGTTTTTGTATATCATGGGCTTTACAATGGTCGCTATCAGTTGATTCAACTGTTGCGAAGCGGATCCGTAAACTCTTGCTACTATTGGATGATCTAAAAGAATACACTAATAGCAGCGAGGGCTCACGGATCCGCTCCGTGACATTTGAGTCTACTGAACGTGACTAATAACAAATATAAAGCGCTGGTCGAAACGCGAGGCTGCGTGCACTGCACCGTTGCACACGTGCCTAAAACCGATCCTGAGACACGACGTTTTCTCGATAACCAATCCTCGCGACTTACAAGGGAATCTTACGTGATGTCAAATTCTGATTTTAATAAAACTTTGTGTACTTATAGCTTACATAAAGAGATGAATTTAGAAAATATCAGTTGCGACCAAAAAAAAACGGTTTAAAATGGTGAAATCACAATCAAAATTTTGCTATATTTCCTTTTGTTGATGAAAAATAATAAATATAGAAAAACAACTTCTAGATAATATTTTATCCCTCAAAGATATTCTATATCAAGATGTCCTTTATGTATTATCACAATTTTATTATTTTTTGAATTTATAGATTGAGATTTTCCTTTGTTAGTCTAATTTATTACATTTACAAGGACAATATAAAAAAAAAACGATTCTTTTTCTTGATTTTTAGTTTGTAATATAATATTACTCGATATAATTATGAGAAGTAACACAGCTTTAAGATGTATAATTCTATAAATATGAATAAATTAATATGAATAACTCTTGTTTTTTTATGTTTTTCTAGGTTGTCAAATAATTTTGAAGAAGGAATTAGATGGCATAGAGCTAGAATTACCTAAGGCAACTAGAAATTTTTATGTGGATGGACATACCCCCACTTCGCATTAAAAGAATTTTCTTTTTAAAGTTAATTGAATTAAATGTGTCAATATTTGTAAGTATATTAAAAATGTATTTTTTGTAATAAATAGTACTATTTAAAATTAATGTGTGATTTTTCGCTTGAGCATCCTGGTTAAAAAAATCGAAAGAAACAGATAGACTACGAAAGAGAATATCGCTGATTCTAACGCACATACGAGGTCTGGCTATTAAATAACGAGACTGCGCGCGCAGAAGGCGTCCTAGAGGGGTAGGGTGGGAAACGAATGCAGCGTTGGATAAGCTGGAAGTGTCTACTATTCCAGTACGAAAACACGTTTTTGTCGCAGTAGTAGTATTTTTTCTATAGAGGTTAGAAACGAACTTGTTTTTTCTCGTGCCGATAACAATGTGTGACGAAAAACACGAGCAACGGATCAATGTGAAATTTCTCGTTAAATTAAAAAAAACTCCGACTGAGTGCTATAAGTTGTTGAAAGAGGCCTATGGTGAGAATTCTCTATCTCGTGCGCGTGTTTTCGAATGGTATAAACGGTTTTCTGAAGGCCGAGAGAGCACCGAAGATGACCAACGTCCAGGTCGACCTGTCTCTGTTTCAACTCCGCAAACAGTGACCAAAATCAATGAAATTGTGCGCGGAGATCGTCGTATGAGCATTCGGATGATTGCTGAGACTGTAAACGCCGATAAAGAAACTGTCAGAAAAATTTTACACGACGAATTAAACATGAAGAAAGTCTGTGCGAAGTTGGTCCCAAAAAATTTGACCCCTGACCAAAAGCTCGTCCGTCAACAGAT